CACACAGACATATAGGTGTGTATATACACGTATATCCACACTCCACCCACACCCACCCTCTGAGCCATTGGCTTTTCTTTGCTGCAGCATTGTTTGCTGGGCTCTGCCGGTGGCAGTGGCGGGCCGTTGGCCCGTCACACGTGCTTCGCTTCTGTGACAGAAGCAACATATAATTATATTACAAATTAACTTGCAAATGCTGGTAGAGATGTACTCTGCAGGAAAAAAAAAAAAAGGGTTTCATCTTCTCTCGTGTCTTGTAGCTGGTCCCTCCAGCACAGTCTGCATCTGTCAGGATCCGTGCCCTGGGAGCACTAATCATTTTTATTAACCATTAAACAAGAAGATCCTTTTTATTTGAAAATGTAAAACAGGCAGGAAGCACTATCTATAGCTGCTAATTCAGGTCACATTAAACGACTCTTCCTCACCTCCCGGCTCGTCCCTGTTCTGCTGAAAGCTCCTGGCCGTAGCGCCCGCTGCCGCCCCACGTCCTGGCCGGGCGCTGCTCTGCCCCGTGCATCTGTGTTCCAAAGCTGGGTATTGTCTGGAATAATTGCACTGCACGTCTGAGTGACCCGATGGAAAGCACACTCCTGCTGATCCTCTCTGACGGTGAGTTTATGAGGTGTCATACTATGTTTTCGTAACATTTTTCACCTTCCAATCGTTTTTAATCGCATGTTGGGGTGGTGACAGGCGAAGGGGTTGTGACCCCAGAAAAGCAAGCCGGAGGATAGGGTCACATCTGTGCCTGGGGCGGGTTTGGTCACTGGAGGGCTGAAGCCCCCACTCCCACCCTCCTTACCCCTGACGCGGACCAGCCACGCAGGGCTAACGGCTCCCCAGGCCCCGAGGAACTTGGATGGGAGAGGGACTGAAATGAAGGCTCCTACCTGGGCTCGGCTTCCTTCAGCCTCACACTTTATGGACAAAGATGTGGCTGATGCCACCCAGTTCGCGTTATGGAACACGTTCCTCACGTGCTTTTTGATTCTGCAGCTTGGCGGCTGCTGTGTCAGACTGCGGAATATTTTACTGCTTTGTGGCTGGCATTCAAGACGGCAAAAGGAAAAGTTGACAAAAATCCTGCTGCTTTTTTTTTTTTTTTAAGACGCATCTTTGTTTTCAACAGCCCTCCTGCTGTGCCAAAGCTGTTAATTAAACTGAAAAGAAAAGAAATTAAGCCCACCTAATATGAAAAGCATTTGAAGGCAAAGCATCAGCCTAAAGACTGGCTGAGTAGGAGCCGGTCATGCCTGTTCATCCCTCCAGCCCGCAGGTGCCAGCAGAGGATGCTTTGGTGGCACTGGCAGGATGCAGTGTCCCAGGCTAAAAAAACCTGAGACTTGGCTTCCATGTCAAATAGCACAATTTAACAGCCAGGTGATGGCCCGTCCAGAGCAGCACTATAAATAATTATTATTTTTATTAGTATTAATAAAATGGCTCTAAATACCTACTCGTAACAGCCAGCGTATCTCCATCTACCTTTCAGCCCAGCTGAGGTTCCTGATCACCCACCAGCACCACCGGCCGTGGGAATTCCTGCCTCCAGTTTGCCCTACAAACCTGGGGGGACTGACATCTGTAAGTATCTTGCAACCAACCCTCAGCCCGGTCACATACCTATAAATAAAAGCAAGGGCAGCCCTGGCGGAGGCGCGGTGCCTCCTTTGATGTGCGGTAATGAACTTCGCTTTTAACGCGGGGTTGTAGCTTCCATCCCAACGCAAAAGCGGGAGCTGCGGAGAAGCTGCATGCCTAATAAGGGGTGAAAGCAAGGCTGCGGCGCGAGATGCGTCTGATGTCGGATGAGAGGGAAGATAGCCTTTAATCATTTTGTTTTCAAAGAAGCTTTAGAGAGCTCTTTGAAGATGAGGCTTTTTGAGAGCTGCTTCTGGAAAAGAGGTGGTGGTGAGACACGGTGCCCACCTTCTGCCCACGTCCACCCGCCCCCACGCTTAACCTGGGTGTGGGACATGCACGTGCCCACGGGAATGTCTGCAACGCTGAGTTGATCTTGTGCTGCCCAGGAAGATGAGACCCTACAGCAGCAAGGAAAAGCTTCCTCGGTGTCTTTTCATTGGAACTAATCGCCGTTCTTTGCGTGCGGAGGCAGGCGGAGTAAGGGGGCCAGCAGCTAGCATAGGATGTCCAGCCTCACTTCATTAATTACTCTATTTTTGTAAGGATAACGTTCTCTAGATTGTGTCTTACTGTCATTGGATGAAAGGGGATGATAATGAACATCCGAACAGACTTTATTTTAAGGAAAAGCATCCTGATGGCAGGATGTGTATGCAGTGCCTGTCCTGTAGCTCAGCACTGGGGCTGTACAGCACCTACGCAGGTGACTTCTTTATGGGCTGGGATCTGGCACAGCGGGCTTATTTGCCTGCATCTGCATCTGAAGGCTCCAAGGGGTTTAACATCATCTGAACATCCCTGGATTTATTTTGCATACCAAGGTCAGGGTGCTGTTGAGTTGAACGCATCATGTCCAAAACAAGCACACGTCTTCGAGCTCCAAAAATGCTACAGGCTGAGAGGAAAAGCCTTGGGAATGTGTGCCAGCAGCCCTGGTTTTTACCTTAGCTCAAGTGGTTTGGCTTCAGTAACCAACAGCCAGGCTGGCATGTGGCCACAGTTTGTTGGGACGCTGGTGGCATCAGCTGCCCCTAAGCTGTCCTGAGCGTGGTTTTATGGGTCTTCTCAGTGGTGGTGTACCTTTAGGTCTTTTCTCACAGAGCTTGGATAGCAAGTGTGTGCTGGTACGTGGGGTTATTTACAGATGCCACAGCACCGAGACAAAAAAAAGCCTATGAAACAGCCAAAATAAACGAGTTACTGCGCCCCTGAATAAGGAATGACACCACACCCATCGGCATTACTCTTGCTGGTGTAAGAGCGCACTAAGAAGCGGACAAATGGCAATACATTGGCACTCCTCCACGCAGCTGTGCGTGGATGAGCTGGGCTCTGCCTCCGCACGTGGCACTGTCCCCATGGCCATGGCTTCACCCGGCCAAGTCCTTGCATGCCAGCCCACCTCGCTTCATTTTGTGAAGTTAAACTGCACGAAGATTTTCGTGTCTTGAGTTCTGGCCAGCCTATGCTTTTTTTTTTTTTTAAAAAAAAAAGCCAATTTCCATTCCCTTCAGAAAAGGAGAAAGCAGCCCCAAATCCACTTCTCCAAATCTGCTGCTGCGTTTGGTGCAAGTTCTGCGAATGTTCTCTGTAGAAATCTCCGTTCCTGTACACACAACCCCAAGACACGGGTATTTTCGGACTGCGTGCCCCTACCAGCGTGTGGAAGGTGAAGTCTGAAAGGCCCAAAGGCATCTGATGTTCGCTCGAACCTGTCCTCTGTGCATTAAAACCCAAACCACTTTCCCCTTTGTGCCCTCCGGTCTGTGGCAGATACTTAACAACCGGCTGTGTTCTCGGCGGTGTGCCGGCTTTGTGACAGGCGCTGCGGCGGGGGACACAGCTAATAACACCGCTCCAACGCCGGCTGTTCAGGGATTAAACGCTGTGCTGCACGGCAAAAGCAAGGCAAATAACTTCGGGAAGTCTAGAGACGGTGTGTCGGACTCCTGTTTTCGCTCCTGAGCGACGCTAGGCTATTTTAGGTGAGGCCAAACCTTGCCTTGTTTTAATTAGGTTTATTGCTATAGCTACACGGCTGTGCGGATGTGCTAACATTTGATTTTTGTATCTAATGTAAGTGACTGAAATAAACAATCCAGATCTGATAGTCCCAGTGAGGGGGACTGACATTTGGATTCAGCTTAAAATCCATGGTTTTGAGGCTTGTTAGGCTCCAACACCTCACTCGGAAAGCACAAAGCGTGGGGAGTGTGGGGGGGCTGGAGGGCAGAGCTACATTTGCCCTCTCCAACCTGTTCGTCAAGCCAATGCTGAAGTGCTCCTCGGAGGCATCGGCTGCCATCGCTGCGTTGGGTTTTAGCTGATGGAGGGATCTGAAGAGGGGCATGATAATGCCACTGAGGTATCGGTTTAATTAACGAAGCTTGCCAAGTCTCCTTACGAGTCCTCCTGTGCCACCAAACCCGTACAGCCGAGTGCTGTTCCTCCAGGCTGCCCCTCTACTGCTGCACACTCCGACCCAGCACCAGCGCTCTTCTAATCTGAAAAGAAGCCTCGGCAATCGGAGAGCGGGGGGTGAGGGCTGAGGAGCAGAGAGCGGCTGTACGGCCCCTCGTCCCAGCCCACAGCTGCAGGAAGCAGATGGTCCCTATGGGGCCAGCAGCCCAGCGCCGGAGAGCTGCCACACGCCGCCGTCTGCGAAAGCGCCGCGCTCCCACTCCCATCAATCAGCACAGACCAGGTGCCTGGAAGCATCTCTTGCCAATCGCCTTTTATTACCTTTAAAAAGCCAAGAAACCCAGAACAAGACAAAAACTGAGACGGTGTGAACATCATGCAATGGATTCACTTTAAAGCAGGCTGGGAGGGGGAGACCAAAAGCCGTGTTAGAGTAGAAGTATTGCTTCACCTGTGTCTGAAGGCCAGACCGGGTGGACTGTCACCGGTGGGGTTGGTGGGGACTGTTGTGAGTGATCAGACCGATGCTGAAGCAGGAAATGGAAACACACTCATGAGCCATCAGCCCGGGTAACCCCAGATCTCATTTCGACCCCAGTGCAAGTTCTCATGTGGTGATGACGGAGAGAAACATCCTAACTCTTGTTATGGGCACTTTCTGCCTAGGCAAAGACTCTTTGGAGAGGAGTGGCACAACGAATACCGTCACAAGGGCTTTTGTAGTTAACAATTCTGTTGTTTAGTGTGATTACTACTCCAGCAGTCAATTAGTGGAGTGGATGTTATCCTGCAGGAGTGGAGTTACTGTGCTCTGCCCTTCAGTTTCACTCTGCCGTCTTCAAAATTCATAGCACAAACTAGAGCAATATTGGCTTCTCGAAAGACCGTGTTTTGGAGAGTTTCAGCTACCATGGAAATAACTTTGCGTCTTGTCCATCATGTGGATGTGACAAAACACATGCCCTTATTTTCCTGAGGTATAGCCAACATTTGAGTTCATTACATTTAATGGAGTAGGGTCACCCATAAAGTTATTCATAAGGTATTTTCTGAGTGGTTTTCACCTTCTCTTTGCAAAAATAAATTATATCAGCATGTTCGCGAGGTACAAATGGTGCTGGCATTTCAGCTGTTATTATGTTATTAACTTTTTTAACCTAATAATTTTCAATCAACAGTAAGAAGCAATTTTCACTCACTCCAGTGACCAGAGTTGGAGATTCTGCAAGGGTTCACCTTGACAGACACCTAATTCCCTCCCAAATCGAAACATTGCCCCCGACACTCCCATCGTGGTTACCGAGAATTTCCATTTCCCCTTCGGTTAGGATTTAATTTAGAAAGCAAAGACTTCCTAAGCTATGGGAGAGTAAAGATAGATGGTATGGGAGAAGAAGGCTGATGAAATGTAGTTGACTCCGGATCTGAAATATTTTATCCCTCCTCAATGTAGGTTAAATTATTCTTCACCTTTCCCACATCCATAATTGTCGCTGATCTTGGACCAACTCAAAACCCTACTACTGAGTTCAGTAGACTCAAAATTGCCACTAGAACTGGAAAAAGAAAAAAAAAAAGAAGAGATTTGTTAGTGTCCATATACAATATCCCAGGACTATACACAGCTATGAGATACAGCAAATTTAAGAAAGGCAATTTTTTTCTCATCACTGAGTATTTATTATATATAACAAATACATGAAAAAGAAAAAACTATATTGTGTGATATAAATAGTTTATTTACATTACAGAAAAACATCAAGACAATGTATACTATTTCAAATATATCCATACATAATCAAATATAGCTGTAGTACATGTTCTCATTGGTGTAGATTACCACAAATGCAAGGCAACATGTGTAGATCTTGTCTTAATCTTTTGTCTATAATACTGTATTTTGTAGTCCAAGCTCTCTGCAGTTAGTTTTGCCATTGTGGAAACATGCGCTCTTTAAATTAACCTTGTCGATGCTCTTGTTGTGTTGTCTGAACTGTAGTGCCCTGTGTTTTGCTTCTGTCTGTGGATTCTGTTGCTCCTGGGACATTTCCTGGAAAAGAGAGTTGTGAGAATACACAGCTCTTAACAACGCGTCTGCTCGAGGGGCGGCGCGGGCGGCAGTGGACCTGAGCGGTTGAGAGGTGTCCTCTGGCCCTCAGCGCGTTCTTTCTTCAATGAACCGAAAAGGGCTGGCTAATGGCCACGGTACCACAAAAAAAAAATAAATCCCCAAATCCCACAAGGCATACTGCAAACAAAAATATGGCGAGGGAAATTTTCCAATTCCTGCTCCTTACTGGGGAGTTGTGGCGACTCCGCTGCGCTGCACTAGCTCCTACTGCACCGCACCTCTGGGTTGCAGTTCGGCTCATCTTTAAACAACAGAATCATTTTCAGTGAGATTTAGGATGGTCTCGCGCTCACCTGCTCGGCGTCCCGGGTCTGTGAAGTATTTACAAAGCAGATGCAGGGGCTGCCTTTCCGAGGAGCTAAGTGTCCGCAATCCCTATCAGTCTCCATGGAAATGCTCCCTGCTCAGGTCATTAGCGAGCAGCTACTTTACTTACGGGTGCCTGCACCGCGCTACGCTCCTCACATGGCTGCTTGGCTTAGCGCGGAAAGCAATCGCACGGCAAAGACAAAATCTTATTTTCCTTTGGATGGCTGCAAAAGCAAATCTCTTCTGCCTCAGGGCCTCACAGTGCTCCTCAGCAAGGGCAAGTTTCAACCTTTTACCTGCAGCAGTGTCGGCTATGGGGGCTGCTACGAAGCACTTCCCGCTAATAGAAAGATAAGAGCTGTTTCTGGATTCCTCCCATGGAAAGATGCTCTTAGACGGAAAGCATGGAGAAGTTTAGCCCCAGGTAGAAGCTGCAGGAAGTTCTAAGCAGCTGAAAGCCAAGAGGGTTATGGCAGAAACTGTCGGGCAAGCAGAACCACAGTGGGGTGACCAACACCCACTAAAAACGCTTTCTGCATTTATGGTACCGGTAGGAAACCGGTGAGCTACAGAAAATCAACCAGCAATAAAAATGGCCCTTTACCCAGGGTGACCTTGTTAACTTTTTGTGCAGGAGGAAGAAGAAGCTGTTCCTAATTTGGCCACGTGTTTGTCTTTTTTCTTCAGCTGAAGCTCAGTATGAGTTTTAGCCTGAGTCGCCTCTTTCTGCCCTCTGCGTGGGCAGCTACGCAAGGACTGAAACACCCGCTTGGAGTGGCATGACGGAAAGCCCCATGATACTCCAGATCATACTGACATGGAAAAAAAATCCCTTTCTATCAGGGTAACTTGCTTTTCTGTTACCGGGAGGCTTTCAGTGGCCCTTGCCTTCAGCTCTGTGTCAAATAATTAGCAAAATAGAGTGAAATAACTTTTTACTGACTCCTTAAAAAGGCCATTTTTGTTTTTTCCCTGTTGAATGGGGGTGACGCTATAGCTTTGTGACGCCAACTGAAAGGCTAAACAAGAGCATAAGGACTTTTGAAGCATTTCAAACTGCTGAAATACAATTATATAAGTGTCTAACAAAATATGGGTCAGATTGTCCTGACTTGCCTCACTTTTAAGCCAACGGGACCACCCCCTCATGAGAAACTGTATGGCTGTGTGCTATATTTTGCCTCGTTCCTTTCTTGGAAGCAGTAAAGTAGGCTGCTATCATTACTCCAGGAAAAATAAGCCTGTGTCTGCAGCGCTCTGGGAGGTCACGGCGGAGCTCTCATTATGAAACCAATGCAGACTTCAGCTGGTTCGCGATTTCACGACAAACTCATTATTCACCGTGTGTTCCTAAAAAGGCGATCAAACTTTCTGAGTGAGTCAGGGAGCCGCTGTTAGCAAACACAGGGCTGATTCACTGAGCCATGCCGACAGCCTCCCAGCCCTGCCATCCCCCGGTGGCCTCTCCCACCCGGCCAGCCAGACGCCACGCAGCAGGACCTCGCAGCGCGCCATGGCAGGTGTCACCAACCCCTGGAGAGAGGGCACTGCGAATCCTGCTGCAGCGGCCGTCAGCCGCGCGGGCTGGCCAAGCTGCCGGGGTTCCTCCCGAGTCCCAGAGGATGAGGATTCACACCAGAAGGCACAGCCCTGCTTTGCCCCAGCACTCGGCCACGAAGAGCAGGGTTGGGGAACCAGGTGTGGGAAGCCACAGTGGGCACAACCAGACTGGTTTTGTAACAAATGTCTTGGTACCAGGATTGTCAGCTATCCCAGGTGAGGCAGCCGTGCGTTCCCAGAGAACAGTGGATATCGACTGCTCCAGGTGGAAGCAAGGAGATGAGATCTCACAGGTTCTTTCTCAAAACTGACACTGATGACTGTCTGTACAGTCACTTAGTCCAAGGTTGAGATGAATCAATTCAAACATAGAGATTACTCCAATTAAGATAACTAAAAAGCACCTTTCAAACAAAAATGCCCATGTTTTAATCACATAATACACTATGCTACCAATTGCTGGAAGCCTGGGAAGGCCCCAAGGCCAAGTACTGACATCACAACTGCTTAAATTCAGTGCTATTGCATTTACAGGTAAGGTGTGTCTGAAGTGCATCTGGGTTTCCTAAGAGGGGTGTTGGTATTTAACCAGCTTTTTAGGCTTAATCATCTGCTAAAATTGAGTGACAGCTTTTCCTTAACTCTTTAATCAAAAGTTCTTTGTAGTGCTCTGTGTGGGGGATGCTTTCATTTAGGAACACAGCAGTTTTATCAATGTAAACTAGGTACTGGAGCATAGGCTGCCTGCCCTCCCTCCATTGAAGCTTGCTTGCAAGCTTGAGTTACTCACAATGTGATTCATAGCAGGTAAATCACATTATGCATTCATTTTTAATCAAGTTATTTCTTCACATAAATAAGACTGCTGTGACTAAACATTAGGGAAGCACTAAAAATGCAAAGCTGTAAAGAAAACTGCTGAGAATCATTATGACACTAGGCCATACCTATATTATTTGCCATCCTCCTTCACTTTTACCATTGCTTCTCTTGCTTTACCTCTGAGCTAAAAGTCCTCATGCCTCATTGCTCCATCTCCCCTCCGTACCTCTTGGCCTCCAGTCCCCTACTCCTCCATTCCAGCTGCTTATTTCCATTGCTGGCACTAGCGATGAGTAGCCAGGTGGCCAACCTCATCAAGAAACCGAGCTGCTTAAAAACAAATCATCATTTTTGTTGAGTTTTCAGCTGAACCCATCCCCTGACCAGGTTCGTTGTGTGGCTAACGGTGGCACAAGAGCTTTGACAGGACCAAGTACCCAGGAGCCAAGGGAAGGGGCAAGGGCAGACCGTCCCTGTCAGCAGCACAGCTCATTTATCCAGATTAAAGTGTGTACGCAACAATGGTCCTAAAAGTGGCCGGGAACTGCTCAGAGACTTTCAGAAATGGAGGACACCCTGTAGATTTGTACCACTGTACAGGTATGATTTTAAGAGCAAGAACAGTAACAACGGCTAAAAGATTTACGCTGGTAGTCTTGTGCGGCTCAAATGCAGGGTTTGGACACAGTGCACCTAATTCATTTGACAAATTAGTTAGGTTGAACTGCACTGAAAGGAGCGGCCAAGAATCTGGCTGCAGGGGCCTCTGAATGACTGAAGTTTCCCTTCTTTCTCCCAGGAAGCTGGTAGGGTGATTTGAGCACTTTCAAGAGTTCAGGATATGGAGTTCAAACCAGTACAGTCAGGCTCTCCAAAGCAGATGACTTGAAAAACTCAATTACTTATGCATATGCTGCCACAATGCTCTCCTGTCATGTGGATTTCTCTTAGGCCACTTAAAAGTACGCTTTTGCAAATGTATCTCGAATCGTTATGCCGGATGGAGGATGCTCTGCAGTAATTACATGCATTATAGAAAAAAAGGTCAAAAGATCACAAATTAACTTGGTTACCAAGTGTGCGGGAAAAGGTACCAGCTATGTATGAAAACAGTGTGATGGGTAATTTGCATTACAGTACCAGCTCGCTCAGAGCACACTGTCTTCATTCTCCAACATAAAGTATTCTGCGTTACTGCATCAAGGTGACAAAACTCGAGTCACTCGACCAACCGATACAGAGCATTTCTTCCGTTACTAGACCATCTTCTTTTTCTTACTACACACTACATTTTGGGTTGTTTGAATTACTTCTGTGAATATCACCACAATGTAATCTATTGCCTCATTTGGCATTTACTGTTTAGTTGGTGGACTCAGCTTAGCCAAAAAAAGCAGCTATGTTTCATCAGATGGTTTTGTTTTATGTCTTTAGGCCAGAGAAGGACTTAGGATTTTTTTGGGGCTGTCTTTCCTAGAAACAAATGCTACACTTGTCTTCCAGCCAGGTAGTGCAACATAGGGACTGAGATGTATTAGAGATTTTATTTTCAACACAGGTATGATACCTGTTTTTTATTTTGCTATCTTTTTAGAAGAAATTTATTTCTAAGAGAGTGATTTAGCAGTGTTGGTAGCTAAGTGAACCTAACCTCATGATTTCTGAGAGAAGCCTGAAGACGCCTCGAGTTCAGAACTTACCCCAAGCCCTCCCAGGGAGAGTAACACAGTTCAGTGGGGAAACAGAGCAGCAGGTGTAGGAGGGGAAGGATTGCTTTTACCCCTCTTGTTCTGAACCACCTCGGGGCTGTCATTTCCATTCAGACAAACCCTTCCTCCTCATTAAAGAAAAAATAAACCATATTTAGCTTGCTGTGCCACCATCTAGTGAAGACCTTAAAACATGAGCAGTACCTTTGAACATGTATACAAGCCTAATGAAATCATTTAATCAATGGGATTGCAAACAGGCTTAAAAGTTTGTATGCTTTGCCTGATTAGGACTAAGGGAATGGGCCCTTGAGGAAACCAGATGGAGATATGATTAGTTTTATTAAGTGTTGATCCAGCTGCTGTATTTATATTCCCCTTATTTATATGAATAATATTTGTCCAAGCATCTGAATACGAAACAGGAAACTTCATTTGCTCTAGGCACCTACCTAAGTTTGATTAAGATGGAAGTAAAAACTCAGTTATAATAGCAAAGCAAGACTGGCTGGCCGGACCAGACGGTATCTTCTGTTTGTTGGTGAATTAAATAGCATTTGTTATCAGTAGCGTCACCGCAGAAATCTGTATAATCAGTGCACAAGGCAGGAAAAACAGAAGTCTTTTCTTTTTCTATTGCAAAGTATCAGAGATACTGACCTTGTAATACAGAGGACTACAACACAGATGATAGCAATCTGGATGGTTCCAATCACAGCTGCTATTAAGACATACTGAAATCGTACTGGACCTGGAACCACGTATAAAACGCTGTAGTCCTTTTTTTCACAGTGTTGTCCAGTATAGCCGGCATCACATCTGAAACGAAAAATATTTCTTCCAGTTATACCTGCTGCTTTTGAAGAATGTCAGAACAAATAATATCTGAAAAAAAATAGTGGTGGCTTAAGTGCATGCTTATGTGGGGTTTTTTGAAGGATGGGCCCCTCAGAGAGAGCACCGGTTCCTCTTTGGGCCTCTCGGAGGGAAGGTTTCAGGTCCTCAGCATCACCGAGGTCTGCGAGAGTGACCGACACTGCAATAGTGTTGGGATGTGCTCAGGGGACAAGGACTCGTCTAGCATCAAGTGCAAGTACTTGCATGTCATGATGAGAATCCATTTAGTTCCTTGCACAACATATTTTAGATTTCTCCCTTCCTTTGGGGAGGTGGGGGAGGGTGAAAAGCCATCTAGTTGTGGCTCCTTATGCAGATTACCCCTAAGGAAGTGATAAGCAATCATCCAAGCTCCATATGAAATGTGATTAGATGTTCCTGCAAGTGGATACATCATTTACATTTTGTCTGGTTGCTATAAAAAACCCCTCTGTTGATGCTGCAACCATCCATCCCAATGCCGCCTGCTGCGCTGCTCACCAGTTCCCATCCTGCAGCCTGACATCTCCCCTCTGTGATTTTGGGGAAGAGACAGTGGTTTTCCCATGGTAGCTCTTGCCCTCTCCCTTACAAAGCCCAAGCAGGAAGATTCAAAAATCCAGGTCAATGATATCAGCAACCAAAAGAGAGTGAGCCAGATTGCTTGGGCTCCTCTCAGAAGTGTTAGTGGGCCACCAACCCTGATGGATTAAGCCTTGAGCTTCCACCCTTTTCCTCTCCTGCATTCCCACAGCAGCCAGCAGCTTGCAGAAAGGACATTTTCCAGCTGAATGGAGAACCTAAAACACAGCAGCTGCAAACAGCAAAACGTGCCCTGGCTGTTTGTGGGAGCTGGGAGAAGCTGGCTTGCGGATCCACCCTGGGGAATGAGTCTGGTCTATATCTTTGCTCTCCCAGTCCAACATCCCAGCAAAATGTTGTTTCGTGCACAATAGGTCTCTTCTTTGCCACTAGGCTGCCTGGTGGACTTCAGCAGTAATATCCCCACGTCTGCAGGGAGGAGTTTGCTGCACAAACACACGCGTTCACCATTACTCTTCCCTGCCCCAACCTCCTCCAAAGCCACCTCCCATACGAAGGAGCCACCTTCGCTTCAGCTCGCTGCCCCATGAGCATCACTCCTGCAGTGGCGGGGACGTATCCCTGGTGGCACTCCTCTCCTTCAGACTCAGGAGGCTACCTAGGGGCTTTGTGAAGTGCTTTACAAAAATATATCTAAATATAATTGAAGGGTACTGAATGTTTTTACAATCGCTTAACATTGTGCATAACTCAATACACTTTTGTCACACAGAAAGAGGGACTTTGTTGAATAATTGAAGTCTAATGGGTTTTGTACTATAAAAGGCCATGGTTACCATTCTTTTCCATAGTTTATCTAGAATAAGTGTTTTTGTAAGTCAGTGTTTTCAGGTGTGCAGCCTTTCATCCTTGGGGGGAGGAGGGTTACCTGCAAGACGGTTCCAGCATGTTAGTGGAGTGCTCACACTTGCCGTGCATGCAGAAGCCATTGTAATGCTCTGGACAAGGGATGTAGATCCCTCTTGCACTTTCTTCCAGTTTATTTGCATTCTCTGTGAACACAGGCAAAGGGAAAATTAGCCCGACAATGCAGGATAAGGTGAAACGATGGAAAGAACTCTACGTACAAAAGAAAGGAAAATCAGACGAACAAGGTGTGAAAGATATTGTTTATGGGAAGCAAGAGAAGGGTTTGAACATCTAATTCCTGTCAAGTTACAGCAAATTCAACACCAGAAAAAATAATTTGGCTATTCAAAACCTGATTACAGAATAGCACATGAAAAATACTTAATAATTTCTGTTACCCTCTACGGACTCTCTCCTTGCACCCAGGCAAGGCCAGGAGGAAGACTCAGGACATTTTCATGTAATATACCATTACAATACGTTTGGTCATTCAGTACAACATATTCAGAAATATAATTTTATGATTGAAGTAGGGGAGCAGGAGTCCGGAGCTGAAGTTTCTCATCAGTGCTGCGTGCCCACGCCCCAGAGCCCACTGGCCTCCTCCCCATCCCACAGCACGGGAACCTTTAAATGAGATTGACTTTCTGGGCCTACTTCTGCAGCTGTTAAATAGTCACTGAGACGGCAAATCCTGGAAAACACTCCCCTCCATGTAGTGAGGAAAATGGAGGCGTCATTTAGTTCTGAAACAGGTATGTGCTTTTACATACTCGTTTACATCATGGGCTGAAATGCAGAGCGTTACTTGCAATAAACTCACACAAATTCTGTAGGCCATGAAAGTGTTAATTAATCTGGGTAATTTTGGCAAATTCTTCCCTTTAACCAATACTTATGATACCTCAGATGGTAAAAATCCTTTTTCTGTGATAGTACCATCTAACTACAATTAATTAAAAACAGAAGAAAAAAATCTCATGATAGATGTCTGAGGAAATGTAGTTTGCACACAAATAAGTTGAAGCATTTGTATCTCCCAAATGAAGTCCCCCAGTGTTATGAAACAACTGCAGTTTGTGTTCTGCCTCCAAGCCAGTCGTGCCAGCAGTAGGTATGCTCAGGTATAATCCCACCTTTGGGAAAAGTGTGTGCGGCGGATCCAAGACTCAGATTTTCATAAAGAATTTCTTCCCTATCGCTGCTGTCCAAGGAGAGCTTTAAAAGTCTCTAACGACTTGTGCTAATAAAGTTGGTTGTATCGTCCTTATGTTAAAACAGGTGAGGTCAAGCTCCCAGCAAACAGGAATGACAGGGTAACCTCGACATCCCTGTAGACAGGCAGCATTAACTTCTTTTTCGTCTTTAGGACTTTCAGGACCTCTGCACTACGGATCATTATTGCACCTTTTTAAATGCACATATGTTGAACACAAACCTGGCTGTCTCTCCTGGTTCCCTGCTTACGTTGGGATATCTGCTCAAGGCTGCCATGAAGGCTGTTGAGGACAAGGCAGCGCACAAGTGGGCATCACGGTGCAGTGATGATTCCTGGGCTTGGGGCTGACAGTTGTCTCTGGGATGGCACAGATAGGATAGGATGACAGGAGGTGTGCTACAGGCATGGCATAACCTCCTTTGAGAGCTTGCCCAGGAATTTCTGCTACTGGAAAGAGGTGGGAGTAAAGGTCCATTTGGTCTGGCACTAAACGTTTTTGGTTACATATCACCCTCTAGGTGAAGCACTGGCTACCAGCATGTAAAATGTATACATAGAGAGAGTTATTATCCCATCGGGACTTCATATACATTCCTTTTTTCCGCCTAGAAATCTTCCTGGAACAGAAAAATGTGTGTGACATATGTGAGGTATCAATGGACTTCCCAGTGCACACAGCTAGAAATCTTCCTGGAACAGAAAAATGTGTGACATATGCGAGGTATCAATGGACTTCCCAGTGCACACAAGTAGATCCTGATGTGCTTTGGACTTGTTGGACTCCATACACATGTAGGGATCATCCATGCACCATGTCTGATGGCTTCTGGGTGTGCTGGACCTCTGCTATGGTCCACATTCAAATATATGTCTGTTCTGGAAACTGCAGCTAGAAATATAGGATTGTTATCAATAATTATCAAAATATCACATTTTTTCTATTGTGGAAAATATTACGCTGTTTCCTTTGAATCTTCCATTAGTGGGAGTTTGCTTCCCTTCTGAAGAACAGGAGACTCTCCGTATGTGCATGTGTGCCTGTGTGTAACTCCAGTCCTTCCTTTGGAGGTACCAAGACATCTCCGTGATGTCCGTGCGCCACCACCAACCAGCGTGAGGATCCCTCCTCTCAGATGAGCCAGCAGTGTTGCTAAAACGGTAGGACACCATTTGGTTTCATTTTTTTCAAAGGCACGCTTCAAGATGGTGAGGGAAATTGTGACTTTCAGGACAGACGAATCCCCAAGGACTTGAAAGGGAGATCAGGACCTCTCCCAGGCTTGCAGATGCTCTCACTGTGTGTAGGCTGTAGGGTTGGTAAAAAGAGGAATGATTTTTCCTCCTCCTGCAATCATGTGGATAGAAACCATGTTTTCCTTAAAAAGGTCTCTAGTGTACTTGAAAGTGAATCTAGGATCCTGCAGAACTTGTAATTACACCTCTAAGTGTAATGTTATGATGGAAAATGCTTTACTGAATCAAAAATGAGCCGGCCCAAGGTTTGCTAGCAGTTCATAGGATAAACGCTTCATACAGGAACACTTGTCATCTGGCTTAGAAGAAACCACAGAACTTAGGTGCAAACTGTCTGCAGTCCCTCATTTGACTGATGACTCCTCTGAAAGAGTTAGGGATTGAACATAAAGGCAGAGAGGGGGGAAAACCTTCTACGTAGTTTGATGTGTCATTTCAGTCGTTCGAAAGACAGACCACAAGGAAAGCATCGTTTACTTCAAAGAAAGAAGTTCCCCTCCTGTTCCGGCACATTTTGAATTCACCCAAAGTAATTGCCCTGCCTCAAACCAAGTTATTTTTCTCATTACATAAAACATTTTTCAGATTCAAAATATAGACCCAAACACCAAGACATTCTTAAAAGTTCCCTCAGGTTAAAACTGACTGCTCTCATTCCTGAAGGATCTGAGCACTTCTCAGTAATCCAGCCATCAATGAGATATGGTCATGAATGCATCACAGGGTTTACGTCACTATGAAACAAGAACTATAAATAACTTCTAAAAAGAGAGGATATTAAATAAAAACATGTTGAAATTATGAATCAAATAAGAACTGTAGAAAATTCAAAAAAAGTAAAAATAATGAAATAAATTAAGACTACAATTTTGGAGTATTTATAAATTCAGTACTGGAGGCAATCCTCACTAATCACATTATAGAACCACCAACCTAGGGAGTCCCTCTACCACACCGACCCTATACCTACAGAGAGCAAAGCTTAAAGGCAAAGTTACCCACTTTTTTCCAAGCAGAGCAGATCAGTATTCACAGAGCAACCATACAGACCAAATTCAGTTAGTCAGGTTTCAGTAAAGTTAAATTCAGTAGCTCCTCTTCAAACATTAGACTTGCTGCATTGTTCTTGGCAACTATGTGTGAAATTTTTATTTGCACTGATTTGTACCTTTTTGTGATGGTTAGAATTTGAGACAAAGCTGTAAAACCTAAAGATAAAAACTGGACTGGCTGGATCGGTCTCTCCTATCTCTGGAAGAATGTAATTCCTGCCATATTTCGCAAAATGCTTCCCTTTTTTATTTTAAAAAGAAATACATGCTCAGCCTCCAGATCAACTGTATTCAGAAACCTTTATCTTGAAGCATTTTTCTGATAGAAAACGTCACTTTGATGAAGCCAACGTCTTCTGCATTTCTGCAACATTTTTTGCATCTTTAGCCTGACATGACATTTCATATTGTTCGCATCTTTTGTTACTGCCAGAACATGACATGATAGCCTATCATACAAGATATACTAGTCAAAACAGATTATTTTTAAATACATTGAGGCCAGATGCTACTTTGTGTAGTCTGAAATGGCTTATCATCTTGCTTACAAGAAGAGTCTCCCAGTTGAGCACTTGCTCTCCAGCCTTTCTGTGGATGGCAGGGAGATGCCGAGACGATGAGCTATTTCTCTGGGGTAAGAAATTGGATCCTGAAAAGTTATCCTGTGTGACTTACCACCCTCTCAGTGATATTGCTTTTGCTGATGGATTATCTTCAGAAACGTTAAATAAATTATTTAAAGCTGTCTTGTCTAAATTCCTTAATATCTATGGCCGTTCGTGCCGTCTGTTAAGAAGCAGCAGAAGAATGAGTCCAGATACGTTTTGTACTCTTTTTGTTTCAATTTCTGGTTCAGCTATGCCTTTACTTAAAAGTTTTTAGGAGCTGAATGCGCACCATTAGGATTCTCAGGTAAATATCTCAGTGGAGGCTGAAACTCAAAAGCCGAAACCATCTGCCAGTTGCAGGACCTGACTCTGCAAGTGATGAGAATGATGCAGCCAGATTCTTCTCTGGGCAGCCCTCACTGGTCCCCAGCTCCCACCCGAGCTACTGTGGAGCTCTGTTATGCCACTGAACATGTGGAGTAGCTCCGCTGACAAACGAATAAATCCATTAGTGCCCTTGATGAGGATTATATGAAGTACTGCTTGGAGTGCCCAGACAATTCTTTCCAGACATAAGTTCCTGCAATCCACTTGGAGAAATTAGGAAAAAAAAAAATCTAGGCAAAAATAGGATTCTTATGTCCAAAAACTGACTGTCAGGCACTTAACAATCAGTTCTGCAGGGCTGATAACTCTGTTGTTCTTTATGTTTGAATCAGTGAGACTTTCTAGGTGATTTCAGGCAGGCAAAGTAGAGGAGCACAGCCTGTAAATTCGCATGTTACCATTTGCACTGTTGTACAGCACGTAATGTTGGAGCCTATGGAAGTAATAACTGCTCATATGAGAAAATATTGGTTCATGTACAGTGTTAATACCTTGTGTACAGTCATCACTGGACTGAGGGAGGTCCAGCAAATACGTCTATTTCATCAAATAAGGGAGAGGATGGTGAATGATGTGCAGCGAAAGCTGTTTTGACACCTATCTCATTGGAAACAGTGGTTAAG